TTACATTTATAACTATTAATACATTTAACAAAATAAACATTTTTAAAGGTTTATCAAATAGAATTACTGTTGAGTGTGTAAGCCGCCATGTTGAAATTACGTCACAGGGGCAACTCGGACAACAAAATCTTGTCCGACATCAACGTCATAAGAGGCGTGTTTCCGACGGATAGTGACGTTTCGTGACGTTTTCATCCAAGTGCCGACTTGGAGAGAAATAATCGAAAGCACCATAAGGTAGCCCCGACATACTGAAAACACACTGTGATGATGACAATTTGTACATGATAGTCTAATACATAGATATTTTCGCTTATGTTATTTTTGCAGGCTACAATACCATTTTGATTGACCTGCTACCCGCCCGTGTGTAATGAATTACCCGCCCGCATACCCGCCTGCAAAATTCCAGAACAATAAAATTCGCCCATTTCAGCAACTATCTGCGAGTACCCGACCCGGGGCAGGAGTCTGCCTCGATCATCTTGCCACATACGATTATGTTACTACCATGAAAATATGTACCCAACATTTCTGGCTGGAGTACCACTCTTGAACCTTTTTTTTTTTTAAGTTTGTCCTGACTGCTGAGATGTCAGTGTTCAGGACGCCCTCAGTGGATCTGGCGGAACGTGTGCCCCGAGCCACACAATCGTCTGTAGGTCAAACTGGTGGGAAGTGGCACTCGAAAGGATTAATCTCAAGAGGTTCAGGCAGTGGATTATCCTGTGTGTGGCCTTGATCTCCCGTAAAATGCCTGCCTCTGGGCTGGGACTGTCCCTCCCATTGTGGCGTGAGAGTCCTCCATGATCCGAGTGTGATAAACAACCTGAACTGACCACTAAAATCTACAGGGGGAGATGACACCTCGCAAAGGCTCGGCCACCGTCGACATCACGACGGCGACATGACGCTGAAGAGTGCCGCGGAGCCCCGGCGCCTCGCAGCTTCGCACTGACCTATGCAGACGCTCTCGTCATCCAGCTCGGCAGAGGCGTTCCGGAAGTATCCCAGGCGGCAATGCTGGCAGTTCTGCCCCCTAGTGTTGTGCTTGCAGCTGACGCAAGTGACGATGTTGAGAAAGTCGATGTAGCTGCAGCGGTTGGAGTGTCCGTAGCATTCGCAGTCTGACGGGAGGAGAGCAGAGAGCGAGCATTAGGGTTACCATCTCATCTAATGATTCTAGCCTATGGGCATGCTAATACGAAGGGAAATAGTGTGGAAGGTTTGCCAGGCAGCTGATTGGCACGTAACATCTCAAGAACGACTGATTTGGTCTCTGCTGGCCCCTTACATGACTGTGCATCATTACATCCTGTCTATTAACCAGTCTGAGCAAGCTGGAGGCTTTACCTGTGGGAGATTTCAGGCTCTGCTGGGTGGGAAGGGGGAAGAGCACCCAGGGGGAAGCACTTTTCACAGCACAGTGTCCCTCCACACACTGGTACTGTCTGCAACCAACTCTCCGATCTTACCAATTCCCCAGGTCCCCCTCATGTGTACGTTAGACAATCAGAATTGCAGCTTTACGTTATTTGTAAAATCGAGAGAGAAATTCTAGGACTGACTCCTACCCTATGTCTAAACAGTAAACAGAGCTGTATGGTGTGTGTGTGTGTGTGTGCGCATGTGTGTATATACTCACACACACACACATACTCTATCCCCACAACAGTCCAGGGAGATTATACATATATACACACACACATACATACAGAGTGAGAGGGACAGATTGAAATTTTTCCTGGGGGAAAATAATAATATATTTTGACATATTGGCAACAGTGCTTGATGAAGCCTTTTACTGCCGGTTTACAAATTCAATTTTTAAAAAATGTTTAGACATTAAAGTTGAAGTGAAAGTTTATGATGAGTCCTTAACGTATGCCAATAGCAGAGGCCAGCCTGGCCGTGGCGAGGGGAGGGCAGCTGTATAACAAGCGCCAAAAACATTAAAATGTGCTCAAATATATGCTGTCATCCAATTAGTGCCCATTAGAATTCCAGGGGCAGGCTTATGCAGTGACGCAGTGTGCAGGGTACTCCGTTTTAAATGATTATCTAGACAGTGCTGCCTTGGGCTGAATCAAGGTTTTCTAAAGACTCAGAAGTCTGTTTCTTCATGTGCTGCAAGGAAATAATGTCCTTTAGCAGCACATTTATTAAGCATCTTTATGCAAATACACAGTTAAATGCATATTAAAATGCAGGTTAGATGTTTATTAATCAGTCATTGCATTACTGTATTATTATTGTTTGCTTCTTGCAAGAGATGAAATATTTATAGGGTGTTTAAGAGGAGGCTGTTATACAGACCTGCACAAAATGCTTCACTCAGCAGAGTAGTGAAAATGGAGGAAAAGACTGGGTAATTAAATATAAATGCCCAATTACTCCCAGGATTGTTGTGGGAACAGGATATTGTTTCACGGCACAGGCAAGACAGACCCTTCAACACATCCTATCAGGGCAAGACGGGATTGCTGAGGAGGGAGGAAGCGCCTCATTAAGTCAAGGAATGATTTTATCTTCTGGCTCAAATCATTTTCTTAAGTCTAGAGGGAGGAGGGAAGGAAGGACACTGTAAGGGAAAAGATTAAGTGGCGGATCAGAATACATGTGTGTGAAGTCTGAGATCGCCTTAGCGCGCTCGCAAGCAGGCAGGCAAATGCAGGAAGACGCGGCGCCGAAATGAAAGGGAAACACATGAGACAAATGATCATTTTCCCACAGCTTCCAGTTGGGCGTTTGCAGGTGTTCGCGTTTCAGGAGTCGCTATACAGAGTAAGAAGCGAGGGAGACATTCACACCTTACTACAAAATCACCATGTTCCCTGTCAGGTAATAACTAATTAACCAGTAAAAGTAAAACAGCCACACCCTAATGCCTGCCTGCAAAGCTCATTTATCTGCAGTATGACAGAATGTCAAAATAAGAGAGAGTTAAAAAAGACTAAGTATAAATATATGGTAACCCATCCATCCATCCATTTTCTTCCATTTATCCAGGGTTGAGTCGCAGAGTCAGCAGTCTAAGCAGGGATATTTGGTAACACTTTACATTAATTGCACTTTCATGATGCCTTTATAACGCATTCGTAGAATATTGGGTGTATCTTCATAACAATAACTAACATTATACAATTATATGATAAAATGATTATCATATAATGTTTGTTATTAATGTATATTAAAGCTGTTAAGGTGTGTTAGGATGTTAAGGTATACTTGCTGCTTATGAATGTTCTGTGAAAGCATTATAAAGGCATTATGAAGGTGTAGTTAATGTAAAGCATTACAAAATACTTACACTTTAGTCTTATTGTAATATTTAAATTATATACACTCAGTGGCCACTGTATTAGGTATAACTGCTCATGAAGGCAAACTGCCTGCTTCTCCGAGCTGCAAATCATGCAGCTGAAACTCAATCTATGCAGCATGCAGACCAGGTCAGGAGCTCAGCTGCTGTGTTGTCTAGCATGAGAATGGCTGAAATGCATGATCTAAGTGATTTTAAATGTGCTTTGAGTGTTGGTGTCAGACACGGTGATTCCAGCATCTCAGAAAGAGCCCCCCCTCCTGGGAATTTCACACACTGCAGCGTCTAGAGTTCGCAGAGAATGATGCGATCGACAAAAAAGCATGCAGGGCCGCTGTGGGCCTGAAAACCTCGTCTTAAAAAGGCAGATCCATTAAAGCTCACAGAAAGACAGTAAGTACTGAGGGGGTGTGGCCTGGTTCCACGCAGGGGTACCTAAGACGGTAGCCACTGAGTTCATATCAGCCACCATGCCTTTTATGGACAGTCGACCCTTCTGCATGGCGACTCTTCCCACCGCGGTCTCGATATATCGCGGGTTTGTCATAAGAGACTACATGGGAATTTTCTGGGAGACGACGACACACGAAGGCCAGCAGATGACACAAAACGTTTAGTAACTCATAAATGCATAAAATATGTGCAGTGATGGTTTGGAGGACGCTGGTCGTGTTTACGTCAGCCTCTGGCATGATATCTCACAGTAATCTTGTGGTGATCTTTGTATCTCACATGTCTTGTATCTTTTTGTGTCGCTCGGATGCTCGCTTTTCCCACCAAGGGGACCAAAAAATTTTATGTGGTTTTTCCAGATGGTGAGGGGCCTGCGTCCCTATCCCCCTTGATGTGTAAGGGTTGCTTGTATTTACTATCTCCTGTCGAGATTTTGAAAGTCACTAAAAATACTCTCCAGAAAGACGACAGACTGAAAAGAAGACTGATGAGAGCAGGAGAGCCAGAAAATGACAAATCCCACAATTCCCTGCGGCAGGTTCAATATTACCCCTGAACAGCAAGGATTAAAGCAATAACAACACTGTCCCATTTCACTCAAGAAACTGAGCTTACAGCGTACATGTGTGAAATGAGAGGGTGTTATATAACTTATTGTCATAATTTTTTCCAGAATTTTTATTTTATTCGTGAGGGGGTTGACAACTCAAGCTATGTCAGCCACTGCTCAGTCTAACTAATGCCCACAGATCTTACCTTCAAACTGGCCAAATATCATGCCCAGTCGCTGGCTGATCCCGGACCCCCCGGTGATCAAGAGCTGTGGGACCCCTTTGGAAGACAGAGTACCTCTTTTTATAGTTATTTCCTTTATTTTTACCATCTTTCAGGGTTATAAACATAGAGGTTGCAGGTCAGCACCTTATGCTAAAGCCAGTTTTTGAAATTCAATTCACTGCTTCAATACCATTTTATCAAAAGTTAAGTTGCAGCTCAGTATTGTAACGTTCTTGCAGTGCAGTATTGGTAATATTCCACTGCAATCTGTAGTGATTCTCATTTTGCTCATGATATTGAAACTGAAATTCATAATTCAAGGCTGAAAAAATATGCCAAAAATGTAAATTATGGCAACTTGGTATTAAAACAAAAATGACCATCTCATTTACTGACTGCTTATAAGGCTAACTTTATTTATTCTTCTAGGAAAAGCAGATTATGCTCGGCTGGGACTGAGTTTACTCAACGGAGAAAATCAGGCAAGTATACCGCTTCATCTTCTAAACATTCAAAAGCGGACTTCATGAAGAGCTGGGTCTTATGATGCCTCAATTTGCTCATTTTTGAAATGCAGTGCATTCATGAAAAAGTTTATTGTGGTCAACCAATAAAAGCCAAGCAGTGGCATCCTAAAATGTTTGCAAAGCTAATCTATGTGCAACATGACACATAGCCTCAAAAACATTTTTGTTTATAAAAACAAATGTATAACATATTTTATTATACGTAACACATAATAGCACATCTCAGCAAATATTTCTAGGCCCACCTTCTAATAAAGAAACATAAGTCACTTGTACGGTTTCTCTCATTGCTGACCCACTATGTATGCAAGAATCTCTACTTAAGAATCTCTAGTTGTGAAAATTATCACTTAAAGTCGAACATACATTTCTTTAGTAAGCACTCTTGTATACCGGTTTGTCCCTAAACACCTAAGCTAGGTTATGGTCTGCATCACACACCAGCCTATTGCAAAGTCACTCATTCATCTGTATTACAGGAAGTCCCTGTGCGTTGAGAAAATCAGTACAAAGAGCTTAAAAACTCTTTGTGGGGTTTAGATGTAACACCTCAGTGAGCTGTACTGTTGGAGACATATCAACCTGATTTGGTACAAAGCTATCTTTAAACAAATAATGTCATTGTTCAGCTTCATAGTTATTAATCTATAAACTGATTATTTTGTCAAATTTATTGACTGAACAAGCTCGATACTAATTAATTCATAGTTAGAACAGAATGAATATATTGCATATTTATCCTGACATTCCACAAAAAAGACTCCTAAAGAGAACTCTGAAACAGAGAAACGTGCTGTTCATTTTATGTCTGAATTCAATCAAAAGCTCGATAAATCCTAAGCCACTAAGAGAAGTTATAAAACAACTAGCGTTTACAAATCCAGCACTTTGAAGTCGATATTTTTAAATTGGCTGGAAGTCGAAGCAGAGCAGCAAAAATGGACTTGGCTGAATTTCAGCTTGTTTGTCTTGACTTTCAGAACAAGGAAATGAAGGAGAGACACATTCTGATCACAGTGCAAACGACTCCAACTATCGTAACCAGCGGATAGCGTGTCCCGGTTGAGATGAACGAGGGATAGAAAAAGCAGCAAACGACTGGAATCTGTCCCTGTCTGATTTCTTAGTAGCACAGACTACATACTACAGTACCTACACTATTCTAAACATACACTACAGCAACAGCACATGTACCTGTTTTTTCGTGATTTTTCTTTTTCTTGTGGCTCTTTATTTCTTCTTTAAATGAGGGAATTTCGTTATTCACATCCTCGGTTTTCTTCTCTTTTTCCTCAGCGTCAAGCTTTACAGTGACTGTGTGCCAAAGATACTGTGACTGACCAGCAAACTGTAGAAATCTAGTGATCTCATTTGAACACTAGTTTGCTCTGTCTTTGTTTCTGTTGTAACACATTAGCTACTGTTATATACTATTGAAAGTATATAATGTGCCAATACCTGTTTCTTTGATTTTGTTCTCTCTTGCCCCATAGTTCTTTTCTTCTCTTACTTCCTCCTTCCTGTCATTTCGGTCTTCGGCCTTAATGTCTTGCTTCTCTGTCCCTTTGTCAGCTTCCCTGCCACTGTTTTCTTCTACCTCGCTGATCTTTGGTTCCTCACCTTTAACCTTCAATTTCTTCAACTCACTGACTTTTCGCCCCGCTGTTTCCTCAGCTTCACTGCCCTTTGATTCTACTTCATCTTCAGGCATTGATTCTTCCTTTTCTCTGACCTTGGTTTTTCTAACCTTTGGATCAGCTGTACCTCTGATACTTGATCCTTCAGCTTCTCTGACCCTTGACTCCTGAGCTTTTGTGACCCGTGTCTCAGCTTCCATGACCTTAAATTCCCCTGGCTCCCTGACATCCGACTTCTCAGCTTCTGATTTCTCAGCATTTCTTCCCTCTGATCTTTCAGATCCTGTAATGTCAAACCCATCAGCTTTAATGACTTCCTCTGATCTCCTGGGCTCTGATTCTTCAGCTTTTGTGTTTCCAAACACCTCAGCCTTTCTTTCTTCAAATTTCTCGGCGTTCTTGACTCCAGAGTCATCAGATGTTCTTGCTTCCCAAACCTTTCGGACCACTGACTCTTCAGATTTCCTATCCTCTGATTCATCAGCTGGTTTTCCAACTGATTCTTCAGATATTCTATCTTTGGGTTCCTCTGCTTTTCTGACCTCCACCTCCTCAGTTATTTTGTCTCCTAATTCCTTGGATTTTCTGATTTCAGATTCTTCCTCTTTTCTGATTGCCAATTCTTCAGGTTTCCCGTCTTCAGATGTCTCTGCTTCTTTGACCTCAGATTCTGCAGCCTCTCTGACGTGTGATTGTACAGCTTCAGGTATTACACTGACTAGAGTAATCAGAAACATTGTTTTTCACAAGAGATAGAAAACAATGTTTTGAAAACAAAAGCAGTAACATATCTCTCTGATTTTAGAGATCCTCCCAAATGAGGTCATCCTGTAACATCCCCTAACCTTTTTACACATCAAATGTATTGCATTGATACCAGTTTTTGTGCTGTTCTTATATTATCTATCCTCATCCATGTGAATAAGAGGAATGCATTTCCAAACTCTCTGCATGAGGATCAACACTTAAATCTGCAAAGCTCTGAATTTCCTAGTGCTCTTTAACTTAAGATATGTACAGCATATAGTTTAAAGAGTTTTCCACATGGCACGATTATCTTGGTGTAATGACACACATAACCTTGCACAGCAGTAAATATAAATGCCTTTAATCTGTCGCTCATACTGCTCTGAAGAGAAACGTGTTTCACAATTACAGACACCGACCGTGAATGGTGCGGAGGAATAGAGCTGTGTAGCTGAAACATCGCTGTCTGTAATCACCAAGCAAAATGATGGAGGCTTTTGATCAGCACATGATGTCTGATGTCTAACGAAGCCCACAGATGGTGGGAGGTTCAGTCCAGTGGGTCCAGTTATCTCCCACTGCTAGTAGAAATTACTGAACGTTGTTGTCTGAGACACATGGAAGACAAATGAAGACTAAATTTAAAAAATGCTTCCTTTTATTTCAGTCATAATTAAGAATTGTGAATAATGGAGTATTTTCTACATAATTTGTTCACTACTACTTTACAGAATAGCTACACTTACATATGTAAAATGATCATAACTCATTTAGGTGTGTAATAGTTACATTTATTTTAAAAATCCTTTTTTATTTCTTACATTCTAAATCTAAATTTCCATCTCCATCGTTATTTCTTTGTATAGTATTTATACTTAATCATTTCCTTGGTTTGGACCTATTTCATGTTAAAAACATACTGTAAACTGTTTATTAGACACCTTCTTTCCATAAATATGCAACTATGCAATTTAAATCTGAAACACTGCAAATCTCTTTGTTTTCGCTCCATGGGGTATTGCGTAACCCTAACCCTAACCCTAACCTTTAACGAATGTCACTTCCAGAAGGGCAGTCTTTGAATCTAGAGTAGAAGCTACAACTATTTAATCAATGAAAAGATAACTTTGAAACACCTAACCCCCTCCTCATATTTAGAATTAAAACTACTTTAATAAACTATAATAAACACAGCATCCAGGTTCAGGGGTGCAGGAATTTGGCTTCAGTCATTCACTCACTCCCCCCCACCCCACAATGAACAGATTTTGCATTCAGTTAAATTCTCTCCAACGCCCTTGTCCAGGTTTGCTAAAAAAAAATCTTACCATCTTCCTCTTCAATCTCTGCTTCAAAAACAGCTGGGGGTGTGGGGGGGGTCAGGGTCAGGGTGGCAGCCTGGGCTGGCACTGGGGTGGGCAGCTCAGTGGGTCGGGAAGTGGCCGCAAGAAGTTCTAGAAGCTCAAGAAGTTCTTGAGGGAACAATGTTAGAGCAACTGACTAGGATGGAGGAAGAAGAGGATGCTGGTGGACAATCTGCTGCTTCTTTGACTAGCTGTCACTCCCCTACAGTATATAGACACATATATGGTTTATTGCCTTTTGTGATACCATTACACTTCCACTACTTTAGCTAAGAAAAATCTCAAGGACCAAGTAGGACATATTGAGCATCTCAATGATAAGGAGTGTCCACAAACTACTACATGTCCTTAGGCTCTTCTACAGCACCAGTTACGCCTACAAGGCAAGCTCAAGACTGCTCAAGGCAGACCCCTATGAGGGTAACTCCAAGCTCTACATCCAAGTTCGAGGCTGGGCAGGCCCCTATGAGGGTAACTCCAAGCTCTACATCCAAGCTCGAGGCTGGGCAGGCCCCTATGAGGATAACTGCAAGCTCTACATCCAAGCTCAAGGCTGGGCAGGCCCCTATGAGGGTAACTCCAAGCTCTACATCCAAGCTCAAGGCTGGGCAGACCCCTATGAGGGTAACTCCAAGCTCTACGTCCAAGTTCGAGGTCAGCCTAAGAAAGCCCACCTGGTTCCTCAATGAAAATGTCACTGAGCATAGATCTGAGTTTGGGCTCGCCTGTCTCAGCTTGACCACGAGTGGCGTTGGAGGCCTCTATTCAGTGAAGAAGAAGAGGAGGGTGAAGTTTCAGTCCTGAAAGCATCCAGAGATCAGCACAGCAAAGAATACAATTATACACATTTAGACATAGTGAGATGCAAATACTCATTCGAATGAAATGCACTCATATTCTCAAAAATACTCACTCACATTCCCACTTAGTAGTCAGAATGGAAAACGTACGTCAGACAAATGTTTATAGTGTTATTTATGTGTGAATATGCACCCTCGGTTGCAAGTGTCAGATTGTGAGAGTCACTGCCGTCTGTGAGCAATGGTAGCCTGGGAGATATACTGACGACTGTATTGTGATTCAACAGGACACACTCGCAATGCCAAATGGCATTCTCATAGTGGGAGTGCTGATGATTTACGTCATTCCCCCCTCCCCGTGTTTTATAATTGCAGTGTGGCCAATTTAAAAAAAAAACAATCAAAATTCAACCAAAACAAAGCGCTGGAATTAAGGCAGTTGGAAATGAGCTGGATTCTGAAGCTCCTGTTATGTTGTACGTTTGGGAAAACCTGATGAATTCTTTGTAAGTGGTAAAACTAAGCGTAATCGGGCAGCCATATGAAAGCTCACCTGATTACTTATAATATTCTCTGATTGTTACTTAAATATTACAAAACACTGCAAAGTTCATATGGACAAAATATACACTCCACAAATTAAAATTAACACTGAAATATTATGACTATCATTTGTTAGTAATTCTGAATGGCTAAAATGCACTATTAATCCAAGAGCTAAGGTTTTAGTCTGGAGCAACTGGTTTTGTTAACCCAAATTATGAACTTCTGTCATGACAAATTCAACAGATATAACAAATCTGTGTGAATTAGCATGGGTTAATGACCGCCAGGGTAACTGGACGTGGTACACATGGAGGTTACGCGTGACAATCGTGCTTGAAGGGGAAAACAGTGTGAGTTCAGCAAGCTGACATAGAGGCCAATGCCTGTTACATTCTTGCTTGTTACCTGGGAAGACAGCTAAAGCAGCAAGCCACATTTGCCAATTACCACTGCCATGTACTTTCAGTATTCAGCAATGCTGGGCTTTTCCGTAATGCATTCTCTGCAAATAACCAGAGGTAAAAGGCAGGGGAACAGGAGCGAGACGGAGTCGACTGCGGGTAAAACGCTCATAATGATGAGCTTGTACAGTTCGTGGTGGAAACTACAAATAGGGAAGCTATAAATCCGGTTAGCAGTCCGGCTAGCAGGACGTGAGAAGGTCCAGGCTGAGAGCTCATGTACAGGAACAGGGCTTACGGGGGGGTGAGTCCCAGAAGGCTCCGGAGAAAGAAAGAATCTTCAGAGCATAGATAACTGTGAAGACCATCCCAGAGCCAGGACTGCTTCGAAATCTATTACCCGTAATAAAGTTTCCACACACTGTGACATTTAGACATTCCATCAAACCATTCAGAGGCATTTAAATTTCACTTATAATTAGGTTCACAGCACAAAAAAAAAAAACAAATGAAACTTGACAGAAATTGTTAGGTGACGTAGCATTATCAGAGCCCTTATGGGCCACTCAACTATTAAAATATTTATTCAGTAATTTTTTTGGTATTTATTAGACAGCATTTTTGTGGTAAATTTAGTGTGAAAAACTTTA